CCGAAATCCATCACTGACATTCGTCGGACGAACGCGGCCCTGACAGCCGCACCTTCGCCTGCGCTTCCGTTCAGCGATGTTGAAGTACCAAGTGACTACCCTCGGCCGTTCCCAGCGTCGCCGTTCTCACCCCCCAGCCGAGTCGCTGTTCGACGGTCAACGCAAAGAAGATTCGACCGACTCCCACTGGGGTGTCTTCAGCACTGTCACCTTGCGACGCACTGGTCGATCGACGTCCGTCTCCAGCCTGAGCAGCGCAAGCACCTCATCGGATTCCTTTATCGAATGGGTACACATATCATTTTTATCGTTCTAGCAATTGTTCGTTGATGTTAATTTCATTGGTACACGTGCATGAGTATAATTTCTGAAACTGATCGCTTTCTGATCTTTGGTTCAAGGCAGCAGTCAAAAACGGCGATGGAAAATCCTTGATTTACCGACGGGTATTCCGCGTGGCACACCAGAGTCATCATCAGGGTGATGTTTTGAATCATGGTTGCCGAAAGCCATTAACGGTTATATAAAAAAGACAGCGATTCGACAGCCCCTTCCATGTTTTTTGGAACTCATATCAATGCCGTGTCGTGGATATGAGAAATACTGATACCATAGCTGGCAGCTCTAGAGTGTTTCGACAGAACAAACATCGATCATCGTAGAATAACTGTTTTTTGTTCATTACCAGAATCACATATGTATCTGCCTCAAGCAAATGGGAACATTACGATAATATAGCATCACTGCCTATATTGTATACTGAAACGATTATTCAACGGTTTATTCCATCTTGAAACTTGTGAAATTGAAAATTGTATTTTTGTTGGATATATTTCTCTGGTGGATCGCCATGAAGTCTGTAGCCTGTGAAAATCCACAGCTTCTTTTCAAACTCTGTGTTGCTTTTCCTCGTTCGATAACGGGTCCACTGGTAGGTTGCTTGTCAGCTCAGTAGACTGCTACCTGCGAAGAGAAAGGGAAGACTAGCGTATTTTGCGAACGAGCCAGCTTTGCCCAATGGTTCCAACGCGTGTCTTGCTATCTGCTTAAAAGACGATGCTGCATGGTCATTTTCCTAGTGCAGAAACATGTTGCTGAAGGTAATGAAGTGCTACTCAGTATCTGTTAGCCAGCCTGACATGGGAGACCAAGCCAGAAACAAATTTCGATGTCCAAGCAAGAAATACCACCGTAGCATTCTAACAGAGGAATGCACTGGATTATGTGAGTGACAATGTTTTCTGAATGCATTGTCAAATTATGCCTAAACCATAGTCGGGTAGATAAAAACAATGTATTGAAATTTTTAGGAGTTCTTAATATTCTTTGACTGTGATCTTTCGATTTATACCTCACGCATTTTCTGCAGATGTTCAGGTGCATCATCACTGTCATTGCCACTGGTTGTTATCGACTGTAGTTGATCTCGTTTTTTACGCTTTCCAAAATGAAATATGGAGCCAGTGAAAATTGTAGAACTTCTGTGTCCTTAGTGTGTATCCGGAAAGGTGACAGGCAACTGCTATTCTTATTGGTCGTATCGAAAACTAGCAGTTTGCTAGTAACCCCCCCAAATACTGGTTTTAGTTAGTTTTTATTACATATGCCTGCGGATCGACGTATTTCAGACGGTTTGAAGAGGTTTATGTTCGACTTAAAAAATGAAGCTGTTTTACGCCCATGTACTGCAGGTGCTAAAATACCATGGAGCTGTAGCCTGCCGTATCACGTTGTCCTAGGCTATTATGAACAAGGACGGTGGAACGGGACTTGATTTCACTTATTTGATGTCGCAAG